TAAAATATTTTGACTAAATGAAAAGGAAAATACAACTTATCAAAATTTGTGTGGTACAGCAAAAACAGTTCTTAGAGAAAAATTTTAACATTGAATACATGTATTGGAAAAGAAGACAGATCTAAAATCAGTAATATAAGCTTCCACCTTAGGACACTAGAGAAAGAAAATAAACATAAACCTAAAGCAAGCAGGAAAAAAAAGAAAAGTTTGAAACCAATGACATCAAAAACAAAAAATCATTAGAGAAAATTAATAAAACCCAAAGTTAGTTCTTTGAAAATATCAGTAAAATCCATAATTTTTAGCCAGGCTAACCAAGAAAAACAGAAAGAATATTTAAAATTGCCAGTATGAGAAATGGAAGGTGTCATCACTACTGATTCCATGGACCTAAGAGAATAATAAAGAAATAATGTTAAAGACTCTGCCCACACATTTTTCTTTTTTTTTGAGATGGAGTTTCACTCTTGTTGCCCAGACTGGAGTACAATGGCACGATCTTGGCTCCCTGCAACCTCTGCCTCCCAGGTTCAAGTGATTCTCCTGCCTCAGCCTCCTGAGTAGCTGGGATTACAGGCATGAACCACAACGCCCAGCTAATTTTGTATTTTTAGTACAGACGGGGTTTTTCCATGTTGGTCAGACTGGTCTCGAACTCCTGACCTCAGGTGATCTGCCCACCTCAGCTTCCCAAAGTGCTGGGATTACAGGTGTGAGCCACCGCACCCGACCTTCTGCCCACAAAATGTATAACTTAGCTTGAAATGGAACAATTCCTTAAAAGGCACAAACTACCAAAGCTCACTCAAGGAAAAATGGATAATCTGAATAGCCCTATATCTATTAAAGAAGCTGAGTCAATAATTAATAACTTTCCAAAATAGAAAGCATCATGCTTTCACTGGTGAATCCTACCAAACACTTAAGGTAAAAATATCATTTTTATACAATCTATTCCAGAAAATTGGTGAAGAGAAAATACTTTCCAATTCTTTTTATTAGGCTAGCATTACCCTAACTCCAAAACCAGATGAAGACATTACAAGAAAGGAAAATTACAGAACAATGTCTCACATGAAAATAATGCAAAACTTGGCTGGGCGCAGTGGCTCACGCCTGTAATTCCAGCACTTTGGGAAGACGAGGCGGGTGGATCATGAGGGCAGGAGATCGAGACCATCCTGGCTAACATGGTGAAACCCCGTCTCTACTAAAAAATAATACAAAAAAATTAGCCGGGCGTGGTGGCGGGTGCCTGTACTCCCAGCTACTCGGGAGGTTGAGGCAGGAGAATGGCGTGAACCCAGGAGGCAGGGCTTGCAGTGAGCAGAGACGGGGCCACAGCACTCCAGCCTGGGCGACAGAGAAAGACTCCATCTCAAAAAAAAAAAAAAAAAAGAAAGGAAATAATGCAAAAATCCTCAATAAAATATTAGCAAATAGAATCCACCAATGTATAAAAAGAATTATACAACATAATCAAATGAAGTTTTTTCAAGGTATGCAAAGCTGGTTCAACATTCAGGATCCAATTAATGTAATCCATCACATCGACAAGCTTTTTATATAATCTATTGATATATAAAAAGAAAAATATATCAATAGATACAGAAAAATCCATTGCACATTCATGATAAAAACTCTCAGCAAATTAGGAAGAGAAGGGAACTTCCTGAACTTGCTAAGGAACAGCTATATAAAACCTACAATTAACATCATACATCATGGTGAGAAACTGAAAACTTTCCCCCTAAGAAGATTAGGATATCCCTTCTCATACAGGAAAAAATTGTGATAAGTTTTTAGATATAGCATCAAAAACCCAATGTAAAAAAGAAAAAAAATCAATAAATTAGACTTCATTTAAATTAAAAATTTCTCATCTATGAAAAACCCTGCTAATAAAAATGAAGAGACAAGTCACAGACAAGGAGAAAGTACGTACATGTATCTGATGAAGAACTAAATTGTACACAGGACCCTTAAAACTCAATAAGAAAACAAACAGCCAAATTTTTAAAAGGGCAAAACATCCACATAGATATCTCACCAAAAAAGATATAAAGATGCTCAATATCACATTAGGGGGTTGTAAATTAAAACAATAATGAGCTACCACTACATACATATTTGAGTGGCTACAATCCAAAAAAACTAACAATACCAAATGCTGGCAAGAATGAGAAACAGGAAAGCTCACTCATTGCTAATGTAATGCAAAATAGTACAACCACTTTGGAAGATAGTTGGTAGTTTCGTAAAAGGCTAGGGATAGTCTCACTGTATGATCCAGCAATTGTGCTCCTAGATATTTACTCAAATGAGTTGAAAACTTACGTCCACACAAAAACCTGCACATGAATGTTTGTAACGGTTTTATTCGAAATTACAAAAAATTTGAAGCAGCCAAGATGTCCTTCAATAAGTGAATATATAAACAAACTGTGGTACACCCATCCAATGGAATATTATTCAGTGACAAAAATAAATGAGCTGTCAAGCCATGAAAAAACATAGAGGAGGCTTAAGTGCATATTGTTTAGTAAAAGGAGCTAGTCTGAGAAGGCTACACATATTGTATGACTTCAACTATATGACAATTTGGAAAAGACGAAACTATAAAGACAATAAAAATAAAAATATCAGTGACTATCAAGGGTACAAGAGAAAGAAGAAATGATGAATAGGTGGTCCACAGGGGATATTTAGGACAGTGAAACTATTAATTTTTTGCTGTATAAAACTGTAATGGTAGAAACATGCCATTATGCATTTGTTAAAATACAAAGAACTATACAACACAAAGCATGGAACTTAATGTAAGCTATGGATTTTAATTAATGATAACATATCAACATTGGTTCACCAGGTGTAACAAATATACCACATTAATGCAAAATATTAATAATAGGGGCCACTGTGCACAGAAAGTAGAGAGATGAAGGGATTTTATGGATCTCTTGGTACTATGTGCTTAATTTTTCTGTAAATCTAAAACTGTACTAGAAAACTCTATTAACCAATTTTCTAAACCTACAGCACTATTTCAGAAGAAAAATCATTTTTCTCTATCAACTGAGATATGGTCTTACATTCAAAGGTAAATATTATTGGACTTTTTCTCCCCTTGAGTATGATAAATAGAAGGTTAAATGCAACTTGTATAATACATTCAAAGTTTAAATGAAATAAAAATATTTCTTAAATCAAATATGGACCATATTTAATTTTTTTTCCTTTCTGTTTCTACTATAAAAATCTCAGTGTCAAAAGGACCTCAGAGGTAACTAGTCCTAGTTTTCATCTGGATTTCTTTCACATTTTCAATAAATCTGATTATTCAGCTTTGTTCCCTATTTTTTTCCATTTTTTAACTTTCTTATCCTAATTCTAGTTTCCCCTACTCCCTTGACAGGCTATAATACTAAAATAAAGTATATCTTTATTTTCTATGGTAGTTATTGAATATGATTTTATTATCCCTTTTGGTTTTTAAAAGCACACCCATACACACATGAAATGCTCTGAAAGATTCACAAATTGAGATTTATTTTTTGTGGGGGATTTTGCACTTGTACATTTTTGTAGGTCAATGGCCTTAATGATGTGGAAGAAATAGATCTAATATGAAGTCCCAATGTAATTTCCAGTCTAAGACTGGATTTTTCTGAGCAGTTTTTGATAGCTTCTACAAGTAAACCTATTGTATAGACATTCGTGCTTAACAAAAACAATGTTTCTTCAGTGATAACTAATACTAAATAATTTATTCTTCCCCTTCATTATTCTCTTAGAAAATTAACTGTTCTTCATTATAAACAACTTTCAGTAAAACATAACTCTAGTCTACATGACCATAAACATACTTAAAGAACTATGGAATGAATATAGGCCACTTATTGAAAGTTAAGATTCAAAGAGACTAGTAAATGAGATTTTTAAAAAGGAACAAGTTGAAAGGTCTTTGGGATCTATAGTCTCCTAAGGAAATGTAGTCAATTATAAATAAGATAATTGTTTTCTGGAAATTATTAATTCTCTTTAAACTTGTTATTTCAAAATACTTACACTTACTGATTTACTGAACTTGAAAATATTCCATTTGTTTTTGGGTCAAAATTAGTGAAAGTAGAAACATTTCCATTTAATTTAAAAAATTTGCCAAAGCTTCAAAAAATGTATCAGGTTTTAGTTATTCTAAAATAAGGACCATCACCTAAATGCAGTAAAACAATTTTGTAAGAAAAAGATAAAACATTTCAGAATAGGAAAAGTAAAAGTAGATAACTATAAACTATTCAGAAGTGGAATTGAGCAAACTTCTTATAACTAGACTTAGTAAAGCTTCTTCCACATTGCGAAATTTATTTGGAAAGTTACAACTTTGTATTGATTTTAATTATAACATTTCATCTTAAAAATTAAAATACTAGAAGCTAAAGTTATAGTGTAGGGTTTCTCAACCATGGCAGTACATGTACTGACATTTTAGGTTGAAAATTCTTTGTTGCAGGGACTGTCCTGTGTACTCAAAGATTTTCTGCAGTATCCCCGGTAGATGCCCTCAGTCACGAAAAACAAGAATGTCTCCAGACATCCAAACGTTCCCAGGGGAAGTAAAAGAGCCCCAAATTAAGAGCCACTGTTGTTAATGTATAAATCCATTTTAGGTTGTCATAGAGCTAGTATACCTTTTTCTCATAAGTAGTCTAATTGAAAGAAAGGGATATAGAAAACAATGGAACTCACACGTATGAAACAGGGTTTAAGTGCACTAGAGAAAGAGACGAACTGAAAATTCTTGACAGATATCCAAGAAAAATGTAAATCTTTCAGTTAAGCCTAAGACCACGTGATAGAGTAATAGTGCTATTTCTGAGTAAAAGTTGTACTTTTCATGGTCCATCAGAAAGAAAACATTGTAACTGCCAAAAAAGAATGTATTAAAAATGCTATGTTAAAGTCATTCAAAAAAACTAAAATAAATGAAATCTTACTTTTTTCTGTAGTGCTCCCTGGCAATCTTTGGTCCTGATCTTTAGGAAGTACATTTGTTTTACTACTTGACTCAACCACAGATGGTTTTACTGATAAAGATAAAAGTTCCATAGCATTGTAAGAATCATACAAATCCCAGGCAGTGGACATTATGCCTAGATAAAGAGACAGAAAGGTAAAAATTATTTTAAACCAAATTCCAACATTTTAGCTTTATAGATAACTAGTCACAGAAAAATCTAAGATAAGAATATCTACTGTTGCCTGATGCAGTTGCCTGTGCCAGCTACTTGGTCCACCTGAGGCAGGAGGATCACTTGAGGTCAGGAGTTAGAGGCAGTAGTGTGCTATGATGACACCTGAAAATAGCCACTGCACTCTAGCCTAGACAACATAGTGAGATCCTCTCTTTAAAGAAATTAAAAATTAAATAAGAATATACTGTTTATTTTTTAAAAATACTATTATTTTACAATATAACAGGAAGTGGATAGAAATGACAAAGAAATACATCATGAGGATACCTCAAGACAGCCTTAGTCATCACACTATTAGTATCTACAAACACTTTAGTGCTTTAAGGATAACTCCAAATTATCTTCACAATATCTTCTGACCATCACACCTCCCTCCCCTCTACCCCACACTTGTACAGCATAATCTCATTGGTCTGTCATTGTAGGGCTGCCCTGGTGATATGCATCTGGGCAAATATGATATAACAAGACTTTTATGTTCCTTTACTTATGTTTAATACATAATATGTTGTCAACTGTTTTATTCGAAATTATAAAAAATTTGAAGCAGTCAGGATGTCCTTCAATAAGTGAATATATGAGCAAACTGTGGTACACCCATCCAATGGAATATTATTCAGTGACAAAAATAAATGAGCTGTTAAGCCATGTAAAAACATAGAGGAGGCTTAAGTGCATATTGTTTAGTAAAAGGAGCCAGTCTGAGAAGGCTACACATATTGTATTTTATGTTAAAAATAAAATCTCAAAATTCATGCCCTAATGTTATGTAAAAGATGGGTAATAATGAATGATTGCGACTTCCCAATTTTATAATTATATACTATTAAAGAAAGCTTATTTTAACTGGTATCAGAAAAAAAGCATTCCAAACTGTGCCTTTTTTAAAAGCATTTCTCAGTGTAATACATGTTTAAATAGTTGTTAAAAGGCAAAGAAATGCAGGTGTCGACAGATGGAGATTGCTAGCAAGAGGTAACGCACAGGTGATATGGGCAGTTCAGTTACAGCATCTGCTATAAAAGAAAAAAACATTTAAAAGAGCAAGCTAGGCCAGGCGCGGTGGCTCACGCCTGTAATCCCAGCACTCTGGGAGGCCGAGGCGGGCAGATCACAAGGTCAAGAGATCGAGACCATCCTGGCCAACATGGTGAAACCCTGTTTCTACTAAAAATAGCTGTGCATGGTGGCGGGCACTTGTAGTCCCAGCTACTCCGGAGGCTGAGGCAGGAGAATCGCTTGAACCCAGGAGGCAGTGGTTGCAGTGAGCTGAGATCGTGCTACTGCACTCCAGCCTGGGCAACAAAGCGAGACTGTCTCAAAAAAGAGAAAGGAAATGATCAACCCAAAAGTTAGGGGAGTGGATACTTCTGTTAAAGGTGGCTAGAAGAAAGAGGGTTGTGATAGGACAGTGTACAGGGGGCTTCTAATCAACGGGGGATGTTCTATTTCTTAAACTGGCTGGTGAGTACATGGTGTTGATTTTTTCTTTACACTACACATGTATGTATTATACGCTCTTCTGTTTGCAGTATACATTTCATAATAAAGTTTTTAAATAATGAAAGACAGTTTACACTAAAGAATTGAGATGCAGATTAATTAAATATTAAGATTTTATGGATGCTGGGTGTGGTGGCTCACACTTGCAATCCCAAGCCTAGCCAAAATAGTGAAACCCCATCTTTACTTTGGGAGACCGAGGCGGGCAGATCACTTGAGGTCAGGAGTTTGAGACTAGCCTGGCCAACATGGTGAAACCCCATCTCTAATAAAAATACAAAAATTAGCCCGGTGTGGTGGCACGTGCCTGTAATCCCAGCTACTTAGGAGGCTGAGGCACGAGAATCGCTCGAACCTGGGAGGCAGAGGCTGCAGTGAGCCAAGATTGTGTCATTGCCCTTCAGCCTGGATGTCAGAACAAAACAACATCTCAAAACAACAACAGAAAGATTTTACAGATCAATAAAAGTGTACCTTTTCCTTGCCTGATTTTGGATGAAACTGGAAGAGATGCAAAAATCAGAGAAATGGAGATCAAAACATTACCTTTATCACTGATAAGTCTAATTGAAAAGTGTAGCCTTAAGTCTGCAACTAAATGGACTTCCTAATTCTTCCTTCCAGAATATAGGGGAGAATTACTAACCAATAATTGTCACAGCTAGAAAAGCACAGACTTCCTCCATAGGTGTAAGAACAGCCCAGATTGCATGCTTCCTGCAAGTGAACAGACTTAACAAAAAGTGACTCAGCCAGAAATGACTGAGCTTCATTCCTTCTTCTAAATTCTCTTATCAAATTAGTCACTTCTCTTTTCCTGAGAATGAGGAAATAATGTATAGACAGAGGCCAAAAGTGTTAAAGTAGCAGAAGTTCTTTCTGTAAAGGTTCACAAAAAGGGAGGAGTAAGTTTTCCCTGACAGTATACATATGGTCACTAATGATAAAGATGGCATTTCACATAATTGAGCTTCAACTTAACTATGAAGGCCTATTGAAAAGGAAAGCAGGAACTGGATTAAGAATGGTAAAAGCGGCAGGATGTGGTGGCTCATGCCTCATCCCAGCACTTTGGGAGGCTGAGGCCAGTGGATCACTTGAGGTCAGGAGTTTGAGACCAGCCTGGCCAAAATAGTGAAACCCTGTCTCTACTACAAATACAAAAATTAGCTGGGTGTGATGGCAGGCGCTTGTAATCCCAGCTACTTGGGAGGGTGAGGCAGAGAATCACCTGAACCCAGGAGGCAATGGTTGCAGTGAACTGAGATTGCGCCATGGCACTTCAGCCTGGGTGACAGAATGAGACTCTGTCTCAAAAAAAGAAAAAAAAAAGAGTAAATAAGAATGGTAAATGCAAGCTAGATGCAGAAAAGAATTCAGACCGATAATATATCTAAGTATTCTGTTCTCAGGTTAAAGAGATTGTATAATGTCAGCAAGCATCTAAGTTATGATAGTGATCAATATGTCAATCTCAAGTTTTAATGTAAATTGGTTGCCTTCTATGTTTGGTGAACAGCTGAAATCCTAGCCTATCAAGTCATTATCCTTCTGGGAACTACTGTCACCTCACTCCTATGTCAGATCTCCTGTTCAATGTATTTTACTGTCGTCTTCTATTTTTGTTTCACAGTTAGTTTTGGTTGAGCACATCCTTGACTTCTTAAAAAAATATACAGGAGAGGTAAATTATTTTGATACTTTGCATATATGAAAATACCTTTATTCTATCATCATACTTGATGTTTGGTTGGATGTAGTATCTAGACTGGAAATTATTTACCTTCTAAATTTTGAAGGCAGTTGTATTAGCCCATTTTCATGTGGCTATGAAGACATACTCAAGACTGGGTAATTTATAAAGAATTTTAATTGGCTCACAGTTCCACATGGCAAGGGAGGCTTCAGGAAACTTACAGTCATGGTGGAAGGCATGTCTTACATGGCAGCAGGTGAGAAAAGTGAATGACGAGCAAAGGGGGCAGCCCCTTATAAAACCATCAGATCTCATGAGAACTCACTACTATCAAGAACAACATGAGGGTAACCACCCCCATGATTCAATTATCTCCACCTCTTCCCTCTCACAACATGTAGGAATTATGGGGATTAAAATTCAAGATGAGATTTGGGTGGGAATGCAGCCAAGCATATCAGCAGTGTTCTATTACATTCTTGTTTCCAACCAGTCTGATGTCTTGTTCTCTACACTGACCTATTTATTTTTCTCTCTGGTAGTTTGTGGACATTTTCTGTCCCCCACATTTTAAAATTGGTAATATGCTGGCACTTGTTGTTCCCCTTCAATCTTCCAACTTTTGACTTTCAAGTCTGAGAGGTTTTACTGAATTATCTCCTCCCCTCCATTTTCTATTTTAGGAACCATTATTTACTATTGAACTTCCTGGATTGGTCCTCTAATTTTATTGTTTCTCTTGGATTTTCCATCCTTTGTTTTTCTTCTCTACTTCTTGGAATTTTTTTGTTGTTGTTGTTATCTTCCAAACATTTTATTAAGCTATCAAGATCCTTTTATTCTTTGAATTTTTTTTTTTAAAGAACATTGTGTTCTTGTTCCATGAATGCAACAGATTCTGACAGCGTTTGCTCAGTTTTGGGGGCATTTCTGGGGAGGGACACATTGTCAGAATTACCTACTCTGTCATTTTTGCTGCATTATCCTAGAACTATTTTTTTTTAGTTAATGCTCCTGAGGTAGCTAAGTAGACACTGATGTCACCTACAAATAATGACTATTTGTTTTTGAATCTTTATAAATATTAATTCTGTTGCTGTCTTACTGCAATAGTTGGAACTACCAAAACAAAGTTGAAGAGTTACTGTGATAAGTGACACTATTTTCTGGTTCTTATATTTAATGGATCACAGCAATTATTATCTCTAGTGGTTCATCTGCAAGCAAAAATTTTGCTTTTTATTTTACATATTTTATCAAGAAGAACCATACCATTCCTGTACAGATAATTTCATCAGGAATGAATGCTGAACTGTATCAACTGTTCTTTTTGGCATCTACCATTCTTGTTTCACATTAAACCTATAAATATGATTTTGTAATGATGAATCATAGGTTTCCTGATATTTAATAATCTTTATACTTCTAGAATAAGTTGTTACTATAGGGATTCCTAATGCCTTCAGGGTTCAAATTTAGTACTACTATATTTTTAATTTTTCCACGTATCTATGAGATTAGTCTGTATTTTCTTTGTCATGTTTTGTTAACCTTGTTTTAAAAACTAGTAAATATCCTAATAATTTATATAACTTGGAGCAATTTAAATAACATGGTGTGATGGTTAACTTTATATGTCAACCTGACTGGGCACAGGATGCCTAGCTAGCTGGTTAAACATTGTATCTGGGTGTATCTCTGAGGGTGTATTCACAAGAAATTAGCATTTGAATTCGTGGACTGAGTAAAGCAGATGGTTCTCCCCAATGTGGTGGGCATCATCCAATACTTTGAGGGCTGAATAGAACTAAAAGGTGGAAGAAGGTTGAATTCACTCTCTGCCTGATTACTTCAGTAGGGGCATCAATCCCCTGCCCTCAGTACTCCTGGTTCTCAGGTGTTCAGAGGTAGACTGGAATTGATACCATTGGCTCTTCAACTCTCAGGGCTTCAAACTACCATATCAGCTTTCCTGTGTCCCAGTTTGCATATGGCAGATCATGGTACTTCTCAGCCTCCATAATTATGTAAGCCAATGCCCTGTAATAAATATCTCTATAAATAAATTCTAGATATAAATTATAAATCGGCCAGGCACAGTGGCTCATTCCTGTAATCCCAGCACTTTGGGTGGCCGAGGCGGGCAGACCATGAGGTCAGGAGATCGAGACCATCCTGGCCAACACGGTGAAACCCCGTCTCTACTAAAAATACAAAAATTAGCTGGGTGTGATGGCACGCCTGTAGTCCCAGATACTTGGGAGGCTGAGGCAGGAGAATCGCTTGAACCCAGGAGGCAGAGGTTGCAGTGAGCCGAGACTGTACCACTGCACTCCAGCCTGGCGACAGAGCAAGACTCCGTCTCAAAAATAAAGAAATAAATCCTAGATATGAATATATATATACATATTCTATTGGTTCTGTTTTTCTGAAGAACCCTAATACACATGAATATTATAAAGTATTCTCACATTTACAGAATAAACCTCTAAAGTAATCTGACCTTTATCTAGGCCATTTTAAAGGGGTATATTTTGGTAAAATTTTCCCATTTCTTTGAGTTAATGTATAATTCTATTATTTCTTGGGAAGTTTTGATAACTTTGAGTTCCATAAAGAATCATTCTTTTTTTATTTTCAAATATTTTAGCATAAACTTACATACAGTAATCCATTTAAAACATTTAAACCCTTCACTTTTGAAAAAAATATGAATAGTTTTCCTAATATGAATTGGAAATCTAAAGTTACATACAGTAATCCATTTAAAAATATTTAAACCCTTTACTACATATTAATATTTGGAAAAAATATGAATAGGTTTCTTAATATGAATTGGTTAAGGACTAGAAAAAGGTACTAAATATCATCTAGGAATTCACTTTTCTGGGTCCATCCAAGTTTGCACCAATTAAGAAACTGACAAGGAATAAAACAGAGATCAAAATTACCTTTATTACTGATAATGTTTAGATCGGCTGATACAGTTTAGATGTGCAGCAACGAGCCTGATAACCACAGGCCTAACAATGTTGAGTCCTCCCCCTATAAAATGTATAGCATGGAGAAACCCATCAGAATTTGTACTCCTTTCTGCCAGCAGGCTACCAGAACAGGGAAAGCAGGGGAATAACCATACATCCCAATGTATAGTTATTTACCAATCAAGTAAGTCACACCTCCACTCCTAAGTAGGAGTGAGTGAGATAATAGAAAGAGATGGAGATAAAGATATCAATTCATGTTCTTCCACGCAAAAGAAAACATTAGGAGTAGGGAGTAAATGCTCTCACCAATAAGATGTATGCATATTCTTTGATTAAAAGCAATGGTTAATTTTTTTGCTAGGGATTTGTTGTTAATCTTTTGTAAAAACTAGCTTATAGTTTTGCTGCATAATAAAGGCAATTAAGAATAAAACCAGCCGTGGCTGGGCACGGTGGTTCATGCCTGTAATCCCAGCACTTTGGGAGGCCAAGATGGGCGGATCACCTGAGGTCAGGCATTCAAAACCAGCCTTCAACATGGTGAAACCTGTCTCTACTAAAAATACAAAAATTAGCTGGCCATGGTGGCAGGCACTTGTAATCCCAGCTACTCGGGAGGCTGAGGCAAGAGAATTGCTTGAACCCGGGAGGCAGAGGTTGCAGTAAACCAAGATCGCGCCATTGCACTCCAGCCTTGGTGACAAGAGCGAAACTTTGTTTCAAAAAAAAAAAAAGAATATAACCGGCTGGGCACAGTGACTCCTGCCTGCAATCCCAGCACTTTGGAAGGCCAAGGTGGGCGGATCACCTGAGTTCAGGAGTTCAAGACCATCCTGGCCAACATGGTGAAACCCTGTCTCTACAAAAATACAAAAATTCACCGAGCATGATGGTGGGTGCCTGTAATCCCAGCTGCTTGGAAGGCTGAGGGGGAGAATCACTTGAACCCAGGAGGCAGAGGTTGCAGTGAGCCGAGATTGTGCCATTGCACTCCAGCCTGGGCGACAGGGTGAGACTCTGCCTCAAAAAAAAAAAAAAAATTGGACTATAACTTTGCTTGTAATTACTTCTTTGGCTACATCCTAGAGATTTTGGCTACGCAATGTGCTCAGGGTTGTTAATTTGTACACATTGAGAAGTGGTAAGTATAGTAGTTAAGTGCACAAGCTCTAGAAGCAGAACAGTTAGCAAACTTCTCTTTGCTTGTTCCCTCATCTATAAAATGGGGAAGCATAATAGTATGTACCTCATAGGGTTGCTGTAAAAATTAAATCAGTTAATATATGTGAAGGACATAGAATAGTGTCTGACACATTTAAAATGTTAATAGTTATGGCTGATATTATTTGTGACATAGTAAATAATCAGTTTATATAAACTTTTAAAGAGTATAAAGTTCTATGACATAGCATGCATAAAAATCAAGATGAATAATTATATCATTCAAATCTACATATTTATTACTTAACATGTCAAATTCTGAAAGTTATAGATCACAGTGTCCAACTACTGTTGTAGTTTGGCCAAATTATTTTTATTTTTGCTTTATACATTTCAATATTCATTTGTTGATTGACAGACTCAAAGAACGTATATTAGAACATTATAGTTTATCAAGCAGAATGAAACAAATTACCTTTATCCTCCATTATGATTTTATCACACTGAACATCTTTATTCTTTGGTGCTCCATTGAAAGTCTGCATCATCCTTTCAACATATAGGTCATTGCCTAATCTATTTCTACAAAGGACTTCATAATTCTTGTTCCTCTGACTGTAAAAAATAAAATGTATCCAACTCATTAATAAGAATCATCACCACACAAATTATCGCTTTATATTATTCTTTTCCTTAAAATTACTTTCATTAATGTGGCTTGCACCAAAAAGTGAAGTGAGAGTTCAGAAAAAGCCTTAGGAAAAGACTGCACTAAATGACCTCCAGAGGACTCTTTTATACTCTATTTCCCAACATCCCTATTACTTTTGGTACCTATCAATAACATGCTAGTACTAACTCCATGTAGGTTTTAGTTCTGAATATTTTTAAATTTTCCATTACTTCTTTGATGACCCATGAGGAATTTAGAAATGTGCTTTTAAACTTCCAAATGTGTATGTAAATGTGTCTGTTTTAGTTGAGATTTATGTTACTAATTTTTAACTTTATTGCATTGTCCCCAGAAAATTTCATTTGTATGATTCTATTGTGAAATTTTTGAACCTTGCTTCGTAGCCTTATGAATAGATAATTTTTTATAAATGCTGCATGTGTGCTGAAAGAGAATGTGTTCTCTAATTGTTGAGTGCAGAAGTCTGTATCTGACCATTAAGCTTTTATTCAAATTTTCTATATCCATACTAATTTGTTCTCTGGTTGACCTACCAACAATTAAGAGGTGTGTTTAAATCTCCTACTTTAACAGGATATGTATCAAATTTCCAATTTTTGCTTCACATGTTTTCAGGTTAATTAATTAATTAATTAATTTATTTATTGAGATGGAGTCTTGCTCTGTCACCCCGGCTGGAGTGCAGTGGCGCAAACTCAGCTCACTGCAACCTCCACCTCTCAGGTTCAAGTGATTCTCCTGACTCGGCCTCCTGAGAAGCTGGTACTACTGGCACAAGCCACCACATCCAGCTAATTTTTGTATTTTTAGTAGACACGAGGTTTTACCATGTTGACCAGGCTGGTCAGGAACTCCTGACCTCAGGTGATCCACCTGCCTTGTCTTCCCAAAGTGCTGGGATTACAGGCATGAGCCACCGTGCCTGGCCCATGTTATTTTATTAGGAATATTCAAGTTCAGGATTACTATACCTTTCTATCATTATGAAGTACACTTTATCCCTAACAATGCTGTCAGTTTAATTGTTCCTCTGTAGGTGACATGTTTTTTAAAAATATTTTTCTCTTTTTATTTTTTAATGAAATTACTTTTAAATTCCAATGCTCTTATTTATCTATCTATTTATTTATACATAATAATAATAAGAGATGTGGTCTCACTGTGTTGCCCAGGATGAATTTGGACTCCTGGGCTTAAGCTATTCTCCGGCTTCAGTCTCCCAAGTTGCCAGGACTGCAGGTATGTGCCAATGTGCCTGGCTTCCTTCTACGTTTAAAATCTTCTCTTTTTATCTGGTATTCTGGAATGCCAGTACAATGCACTGAGAACATTTCTTTTTGGATATTTACTTTTATTTAATCCTATTTCTGTGGAATGGTGTCTTTCAACAGTTTGGGAAAATCCTTCCCCACTCTCTGAATGGTATCTCTCCTCCATTCTTTATATTCTGCCCCTTTTGAACCTCGGATTACATATATGTTAGACCATTATTTTATTGTCACCTTTTTTTTTTTTTTTTTTTTTGAGAGAGAGAGTCTCACTCTGTCCCCCAGGCTGCAGTGCAGTGGCGTGATCTTGGCTCACTGCAACCTCTGCCTCCCGGGTTCAAGCGATTCTCTTGCCTCAGTCTGTGAGTAGCTGGGATTACAGGTGGGTGCCACCATGCTGGGCTAATTTTTGTATTGTTTGTAGAGACGGGGTTTCACCATGTTGGCCAGGTTGGCCTCAAACACCTGACCTCAGGGGATCCGCCTGCCTCGGCCTCCCAAAGTGCTGGGATTGCAGGCATAAGCCACCATGTGTGGCCTATTGTTAACATATTTTTTAACTTCGTTTTCACACTTTATATCCCATTTTATCTCCAAACTTGATTTTGTATAATTTATCCAGATCCTGTCTAATTCATTAAATCTCTATTCAATTATGTCTAATGTTTAAATCAGTTTACTGCATATTTTCAACAATTACATAAACTACTTTAAAGTTCTTTTTAGATATTTTTCCAAATACAGGTCATGATTTCTGACAGTTTATTTATTTATTTTGAGACAGAGTCCTGCCCTGTGGCCCAGGCTGGAGTGCAGTGTTGTGATCTCCATTCACTGCAACCTTCGCCTCCCGGAAAAGCAATTCTCGTGCCTCAGCCTCCTGAGTAGCTGGGATTACAGGCGCCCGCCACCATGCCCAGCTAATTTTTGTATTTTTAATAGAGACAGGGTTTCACCATGTTGGCCAGGCTGGTCTCAAACTCCTGACCTCAAGTGATCCATCTGCCTCAGCCTCCCAAAGTGCTGGGATTATAGGAGTGAGCTACTGCACCCGGCCTGACAGTTTCTTAATGTTAATCACGTTTTAACTCTGTCACTTATTTGTTTAAACATTTCACACATATTTTATATTCTATATCTGATAATATAATTATCTATAGTCTTCAGGATCTATACCAAATTCAACCTGAGGGAATTCTTCTTCTTCTCCCTCTCCTTCTCCTCCCTCTCCTTCTTCTTCTCCCTCCTCTCCCTCCTATTCTTCTTCATCTTCTTCTTCCTTTTTTTTTTCAGACATGGTCACATGGTCTCTCTCAGTTGACCAGGCTGGAACGCAATGGCGTGAACATGGCTCACTGCAGCCACGACTTCCTGTGATCAGTCAAGTGATTCTCCTACCTCAGCCTCCTGAGCAGCTGGGACTATAAGTATGTACCACCATGCCTGGCTAATCAAAAAAGAAAAAAAAATTGTAGAGATGGGGCTCTCGCCATGTTGCAGGCTGGTCTCGAACTCCAGGGCTCAAGCCATCCTCCTGCCTTGGCCTCCCAGAGTGCTGGGATTATAGGCATGAGCCACCACACCCAGTTGATCTGAGGGAATCTTAGGAGCCAAAATGGTAGTAGGCTTTCCTCCTGAGATTAGTGTTTGCTTCTGACAATAGGGAGTTGACTCTACTGGCCTAGGAGCAGTTGAGCTCCTTTTGAGAATCTTGGCTTAACACAAGAATCTCTCTTTCAGCCCTTTCAATGTAAGGGTTGGGAGAACCCAAGAGTCATCACTGGTCTCCAGATCCATGTGTTAATATTAACATTTCTTCCCAACATTTCTCCCTTTCTGATTTCAAAGCAATTATCTGTCACTTTCTTTTTTCCCTCTTTCCTATTTTGTTTTTTTTGGTACAAGGAACTTTCCCTTCCTTCTTACGAGCTTTTAAAGGTATGCTATTCATGATCTAATATGTTCTATGTTTTATAGTTCAAACCATATTATAATATTTTATATTTTGAGAAGGAATAATACCCTAAAATTATTTTACTGATGGAGTTTTTAGTACTATAAATCCTATTCAAATAATACTTTAGGTAAAATAATCAGAATAACTATTAATAATCTACTTATAGTAACTATATTAATTTTAGACAGAGGAGAGTGGAACAAGAACAATTATCAGGGATAAAGAGGGATAGTACAAAATGAAAAAGGGGTAAATTCTTCATGAAAACATAACAGTCCTTAAATGTGTATCTGCCTAACAACAGACTGTCAAAATACTTGAGACCAAAACAAACTCTATTTATATTCATTAATAAAGAGAAAAGGAAAACTTCTCTAATATAGTAAATTCATTTATTTACCCATATTTTCCCTTCCTAAGTTTTAAATATTAGGTTAGTGCAAAAGTAATTGCAGTTTTGGCTATTACTATAAAAGTATCAGTTATTTCTTTTTAAATTGAAAATGATTTATATATGTATAAAAGTAAAAATAATTAAAACCTATATAGAGACTTAGAAGCCTATTTTGTTATTTGGCTTAGAAGTTCGCCTAATTATTTAAAAATATGGTAAAGCTATGGGCTCTTCCTCTAGAAAAATTTACATACAACATAAACATTTACCTTCCATATAAGTTCGCATGGCACTTATATAACTTTGTATATAATTTTGTAGGGAATATACAATTTCCCCCCAAACCCCCCAGTGTATATCCTGGAATCCTCAAGAACCCTTCACAGAAACAAGGATAAGAACGCTTGGCTTAGCATTTGAATTACAGAAACAATGTAGACAACTGAACCATACATACGTTACTTTCTCAGCTTCTTCAGATTCTACAGAGACCATGACTGTGGGCAAGTCAAAAAATCTCAGTGTTTCTGTCTCTGTGAGTATTATCTCTATATTCTTCTCCAGGTCTTCTTTTGTTACAATTTTTTCAGGTGCTGCCCTTATAACTTGCAAATCTAAAATACATGACTTAATTAAAATCATTTACTAATTGCTATTTCTAATTTGCATTTTTCCTTCTAGTCACCAAAATACCATACTGGGTAATATATTGCAGGTGGTCAGTATAGTCAAGGAACAGGCCAGGTTGTGAGATATAGTCTATTCAACCTTTCTGAAGCCAAATTGGATCTTGTAGGCCATAAACAGCCTTCCTTGCTGACATAACAAGCCTACCCCAGTCTAATACCTATACTCATAACTCTAAGGGTATTCCATTATTACTATCCCACAATATTAATTGGGAACTGGGGTTAGTGACTGTTGGTACTACTCAAGAATATGGAGGCAAGTATATTTAGGCGGCATAATAAGCAACACTTCTTTCAGCCGTGAAGTTAACTTCTAATTCGTAGCTTTAGCAAACTTTTATCCTTCATTTGCTCTCCTTATTAGCTGTCTTTTAATTTAGATGTCATTCCATCTCTAATCATCTTCACCAGGGGTAAAGACTCTACTATATTAGTCCTGGTTGACTATAGAAGTAAGATTGGAACCAATGTCCATGCAAATAATAGAGTGAAAATAATTGGCCATAAACCTTTAGGACAGTCAGAACTGGATCCAAGGTCCTTGGAAAATCCCATTGAGAATTGAGTTTCACAGCCAGGAGAGTTTGGAATTGGTTATGTGGGTAACAGCCACGAGAAAGTATACAAGTGAGAGTTCAGTGTTTTCTACCAACAACAGGGTATACAGCAGATATTCATAAGCCTTTGGGATAGGTAAAGCTTGGACAGCTTTAGGAAAACTTAAGAATGTCTCAGTCTTCTCTCTAAAAGGTTCAGAGCTGAGAAAAACACCTTCCTCATAATCTAAAAAAAAATACAAGTTATTAATTCCAAAAACCAATCATGAACATTTTTAATGGCTAAATAAATTATGGTATACCCATCTATGACTATTAAATACTAAGTAATTTAATAATAAAAATTTTTGAAAATATGTTCTAAAATGTTAAATGACAGAGCAGCCTAGAACATGATCTGCACTATGGTAATAAGAATGTAAAATATTATGCAGATAAACAAGGTCAGGAAACAGAAAATTTTAAGTTGCAAATCTTCTTTAGTTTTCGGTGATTCTTCTTTTTTTAATATTCTTTAATTTTTACTATTTGTGTAATACATTTTAAAAATAAGTAAAAGATTTTATTTATATAAGTAAATCTGACTAAGACAAAATAAGTAAAGAAGTAAATGAGTTATCCACAAGAACAAAATTTGAGGTATATGTAGTCCAAACTTTTTGTCAATGAAGAAAATTAAAAAACAGAGGTTAAGTGAAAAGTCCACACAGGAATACTAGCAATTTTAAGACTAGCGTTTATCTCCGAGGTTTCTTACTGTTAGACCACCAGATCTTCCTTTGTGATTTAGTTATATATACTTCAAAGTAGCATTGTGGCAAAGACATGCTAATTATAAAAATAAACGATCTTATATTAGACATATTACGCATATAGAACCTAATATAGTAACATCTCAGTTATTATGGTTGGGATAAGTAATAGTCTAGTCAACCTTCTTGATGGCAGAGGAACTACCATTCATAGACAAAGCCCTAGGATGGCAAGTAGGATTTTTGCCTGGAGTTCTGTATCACCCATTTCCTAAATGTTGCTTGAATTTAATATATATTCAGAAACTACCCCCAAACCACACTCTTTACCCATAGAATCTGTCTATTTCATGGGTTAGATCCCCTAACTCTAGACTGGCTGTACCACAGATTTTGAGTACACCTCTCTCTCCACCTAGAAAAGAATCACAGTTCTATCAATCTGTTTTGCCTGCTCCTCTTGACTGCCAATGATGGAGGGAACATCTACACTCCTGATGGTTCTTCCCAGAAGAGGGAGCTCTAGCCTAGTATGACAATGATGGCTCCTCTCCACACCTTTACTCCTGAAGCCCCTTGAGAGGGTTAGGGGAGTCCTGAAGTGGTCTAGAACCTTTCATGAATGGGTGGGTAAGTCTGTCAAATTTGAGGGTTTAACAGGGGACTTTTATCCACAATGTGATATTTTGGCTCCAATTCATCATATTTTCGCTTACCATATTTTTCAATTAATTCAGAACAGGGTAGGGAAAAGGGATGCAATTGTTTGGCTATTCTCAGAGACCCCAGTAGAGAACAACCTATGAAGCCTTCCTTGGCCTCTACTTTAGCTTCAATGGGCCCAATACAATTACAGTATAATTGAGTCACAAAAGCAGTTTATTCTTCCTCCTTTCTCCTCACTTGTCAAAGGTATCTATTAGTGAGTTATTTATTAACTGAGAGCATCCAGAGACAACCTGTGCATGAGATGCTGTTTAGCCCCTACCTTGCAATTAAAACCACAAACTTTTCTAAGCACAAAACTCCTTTTGGTTTTATGGTAAAGCAATGGTTCTCAAACTTTACCATGCATCAGAATCACCCAAGGGCTTAACAATAATTGCTTGGGCTTACCTCTAGACTTTTTTTAAACATTTGGTAAACTTTGTGTTTTAGAATAGTTTTAGGTATACAGAAGAGTTGTAAGAATAATTAGAGTTTCTATATACCCTATATCCAGTTTTCCCTATTGTTAACATTACTTTGGTGCATTTAGTACAACTACAATATTGCTATTTTATTATCATATAAAGTCCATATTTTATTCTGATTTCCTTAAATTTAACTGTCATTTTTCTCTTCCAGGATCTCATCCAAGACACCACATTACATTTAGTCATCATGCCTCCTTAGGGTTCTCTACACTGTGACAGTTTCTCAGAATTTCCTTGTTTTTGATGACTTTGAGAGTTTTGAAGAGTAGTGGTCGCATATTTTGTAGAATGTCCTTCAATCTGTGATTTTCTGATGTTAAACAAGTGTTATGGGTTTCTGGGAGGAAGACTACAGAGGTAAAGTGTCATTCTCATCATGTCATATCAAAGATACATGATAACAACCTAACTTATCATTGATGGTGTTAATCTTTACCACCTGTCAATATCCTCTGCTTTAAAGTGATTTTTCCTCCTCTCTCCTTTGCATATTGTACTGTTTAGAAGAAAGTCAACATGCAAATCCCATACTTATAGAATGGGAAGTTAAGATCCACCTTCTTGAGGGAAAAATATCTATATAATAATTTGGAATTCTTGTATAAAAAGATTTGTCTATTCTCTCTTCTTCATTTATTCAATATTTGTTTGTGTTACTATGAATTCATGGGTATTTATTTTATAATTTGGGTTATAATCCAATTCTATACTATTTATTTTGTTATTGAAATTGTTCTACCTTTTGCCATTGTGAGCTCTTTCTGTTGGCTGCTAGGTTCCTCTCAAATACCCCTTTTTGTTGTTTGTTTATTGTAGAGACTTGTTCTATTTTGTTTTGTTTGAGCACTTCTTTACTCTCTGGCTCATCTTTTATCCCGGCCTCAGCTCTAGAATCGGGCATTTCTTCAGAGCCCTGGTTACTTTTATTAGACAATGGAATTAGAAACCAAAATCTGAGCACTGAGAGTGCCTGCTGCTTCTGGGGTGTCATTGCTTCTAGGCCTTCTTAGTGGACAGAGCTAAGAAATATTTGTATGTATACTAACTTGTATATATAAACATATCTATACATCTGTGTTCACCTATATATCTATATTAAGCTAAACATGAGTTTATATTAATGTTTTTGACACTTGTTCGATAACACATGGATAATTCTAGCTTCCTTTCTTGCTTTCTGTAATCTCCCACTCCAACAATGTTGAGTTCCTACCATCTGCCCTCCAGTTACTTACATGTTCAATCCCAGTATGCATGTACAATGATTCAGAATTATTAACCCCATACCCCATGGGAAATGACTACAAACTAGTGTGTTTATTTGCAGTTCTTTGTGTCTTTCATCTCACAGCCTCTACTCATTTTCAATATTATTTAGGTGTATACCCTTTCCTCCCACTTCTTCTAGGGGGTTATATTATACATTTGTAAGGCAGTTTGATTCTTCTGTTACAGTCTGTATTCCATTGTAGGATCCTCCTATTTCTTAACTGTGATTAAAAAAAAAAAAATTCCCGAATTTTAAGTCTCACTTTTTGTGCAGTAATATTCTATGGGTTTTAGTAAAGGCATGGTGCTATGTATCCACCATTACAGTATCTATACAGAGTAGTTTTACCATCCTAAAAAATATTCTTTGTGCTTCACCCATTCAACTCTACCTTCTCTTCAAGGCCCTAGCAACTATTGATTGATCTGTTTTCTGTTTCTACAGTTTTGCCTTTCTCTAGACTGTCATATAAATAGAATCAGACAGGATATAGTCTTTCCAGACTGGTTTATTTAACTTAGCAATTAGTATTTAAGATTCATCAATCTTGTTGCATGGATTCATAGCTCATTTTTTTATTGCTAAATAATATTCCATTATATGGATATACTTTTGTTTGTTTATTCACCACTTAAAAGTCATCTTGGTTGCTTCTAGTCTTGCATTTATGATTAAGCTGCTAGAAACATTTGAATGCAAATTTTTGTGTGAAGATAAATTTTCAGCTCATTTGGGTAAATACCAAGGAACACAACTGCTTGATGATATGGTAAGAGTATGTTTAGTTTTATGAGAAATTCCCAAACTATATTCCAAACTGGATGTACCTACCATTGTACATCCCCACCAGCAAGGAATGAGAGTTCCTATTTCTCCACATATTTGCCAGCAATTGGTATTATCAGGTTTTTTAGCCATTTAAATGCATATATAGTAGTATCTCATATTTAATTTGCATTTTCCTAATGACATATGAAACTGAGCATCATTTCATATGCTTATATGCCATCTGTATATCTTTTCTGATGAAGTGTCTGTTCCTACATTTTGTTCATTTTTCGCTGGGTTGGTGATATGGTTTGGCTGTGTCCCCACCCAAATCTCATCTTGAATTGTAACTCCCACAATTCCCACATGTCATGGGAAGAAC